TTTGCGTATTGGTTTCTTCAAATGTAAACTGGGGACCTGGATCAAGTGGTTCCTATGAACCCTTCTCTTCTTGAGTGGAAAAGAAACATAAAGGCAGAAGCTAAATTATCTGTTCTTCCTATTATTACCAGCAAAGGAGACAGAGCACACACGTTCAAAAGATGAGACTTCTACAGGTATATGACAGTTTTACAAAAAACACACCTCAGTGTATCAAATCTGAATTTTCAAACCAGTCTTTTGGAAATGTGGTCATTCTGCTTTACCTGAAGTAAGAGTTACATTAACCAGTCAGGTTAGTTTAAAACTATCACTAGATGCTTCATGAGGGCACTCGGAAGAACTTCTTACAATGTCACAAATGAGAAAATGCAATTTTGGAAAGGAACTTGAGTAATGAAAAATTAATGCTCTGATGCTGGCAAATATGGAAGTACCACTTCCTCTAATACATTTCTAGGAGACATTCCAAAATTGAAATTATTTTGTGCATTATATTAATGGAATTCAATTTATTTGAATAAAACATGCTGGAGTTCTTTGAATCAATATTATTCTGTCCACACTGGAAACTCAAGATCTGAGACAGCCAGACTGAGGACGATAACTGTTAAGAAATATCAAGGTTGCTAGATTCTATTTTGATTTTTCATTCTTCTGTTTACTCAGGTTATATCTTTATGTCCTATGTTTTAATCAAAGAGACACAATGTACCCATTTAAACTTGACAGACATGAATGTCTTTAGTCTTGTTCATTATTTTGCACATCAGAAATGATGAATTTAAATTATAAGGCATATTGCCTACATTCAGTTACCATCTTCAAAACCCATTCTACTGATGAAAGCATTAAAGCATAGATGCAGCTACTGGTGAAAGTAGCTGCATTTATGAGGACACAGTCTTTAAGCGAGAATAAATGAAGTCAGTGGGGCGATACGTCACTCTGATTCATCTTAGTTGGTTGGATCTTCCTTGGGACCCAAGTCTCCCATTTACATATTATCACATAAGTTAAAAGTCTATAATCATCTATCTTATTCTGACATACAAAGTTTACTTTTCATTAATCATTGTGTTCATATTTTTGTGGACATCTTCCAAATGCCTTGGGAAACCTACTTAGCTTACTTCCAGGTCCATTACCATAGGATGGCAGCTGTTTGAGGATCCTCGCTGAGTACCAGCACCTACCTGTTCTCTGACATTTGAAGGGTCCAGGGTGTTGTTTAAAGCTGTTTTTGCAGCTTTGTAAGGCTCCCAAGCATCTGCTAGATTGACGGTGATCCCCATGTAAATACTAATGACCTGAAAGAGGAGACATTCCCTCAGCATTCATTCAAGGCAAGGGGCTGGGAAAATGCAAAATTAGAGAAGACATTGCCCATTCCTTTAAGTTTAAATGTTATTCCAATGAAAATCAATGAAAACCCAAGATTTTCCAGATTTATAGGTAAGTGTTCTTCCTTTTGAGGGCTCTGGATCAACAGCAATTGCTGTTCATGGAAAAGTAACTAAAACAAGGTTTTCCTTTCAAACTGCTGGGGGTTAGATTCTAGA